AATAAGTTTCTATTAATAATTTAATAAATAATTATTTGTAAAATAACAAATTCTGTTATTGGCTTTTAAAATTTCTTCTAATAATTTGACAAGTAAATTTTAGTAAAATAATAAATTTATATAAGTTTTTATATGTAAACTTTTAGTAATAAAAATAAGTAAACATCTTTAAAAACCACCTCATATTTAATTTTTTTAACAAGTCTTCATTGTTAATTTAATAAATAACTATTTGTGAACTAACTAGTCCCATTACTAATTTTAAAAATTTCTCTTAATAATTTGACAAGTAAAATTTAGTAAAATAAGAAATTCATATAAGTTTTTAACATGCATGCTTTTAGTAATAACAAGTGACCATTTATAAAAATTAGTGCATATTAAATTTTTTAGCAAGTCCTATTAATAATTTAACAAGTGATCATTTGTGAAATAATAAATAATCATTAAGTTTTTAACAAATATTGGTATGAAAAGTGACAATAAAATAAAAAAATATATAAAAATTTGCATTGTTCACTTAACAAGTTCATATTGGTATGTTAAAAGCTTATATAAACTTGCTATCTTATTAAAATTTACTTGTCAAATTATCAAAAAAAATTTTTAAAATTAATAATAGAATTTTTTTATTTCACAAATAGTTACTTGTTAAATTAATAATGAAAACTTATTAAAGAAATTAAATATTGGATGATCTTTATAAATGTGTACTTATTTTTATTACCAAAAGTTTACATGTTAAAAACTTAACTTGTTATTTTACTAAAATTTATTTGTCAAATTATTATAAAACAGTTTCAAAGCCAGTAACAATACTTGTCTTTTCACAAATAATTATTTATTAAATTATTAATTAGTACTTGTTTGTCAAATTGTCACGATAAATTTTTAAAGCTAATAATATGACTTGTTATTTTACGAATCATTACTTATTAAATTATTAAGGGGTACTTGTTAAAGAAATTTTATATGGACTAATTTTTATAAATGTTTGCTTGCTTTAATTTTATATATCAAAAGCTTATATGAACTTATTATTTTACTAAAATTTACTTGTCAAGTTATTAAAAAAAATTTTAAAATTAGTAACGGAATTTGTCATTTTATAAATAATTATTTATTAAATTATTAATAGGAACTTGTTAGAGAAATTTAATATAAAGTGATTTTTATAGACATTTACTTGTTTTTATTACTAAAAATTTAGATGTCAAAAGCTTATATGAATTTATTATCTTACTAAAATTTACTTGTCAAATTATTAAAAGAAAATTTTAAAACTAGTAATGAGACTTGTTATTTAAAAAATAATTATTTATTAAATTACTAATGAAGACTTATCATTTCTGGTAATAAAAACAAGTAAATATTTATAAAAACTAATGTATATTAAATTTTTAACAAGTTTTATTAATAGTTTAATAAATAATCATTTATAAAATGATTAATAATCATTGAACTTCTGGTAAATATTGGCATGGAAAGTAAAAACAAAGTTATATATATAAAAATTTACATTATATAATTAAAAAAAATTGTTAGCCCATTAACTAATTATCTTTTTGGCGATCAAGAGCGTGTGAGTTCTAACCTTACCTTAGCCACTTTAAAAAAATTAATATGTCTCTCTCATTGGTGACTGTGAGAAGATTATTTTTTTTTTTAAAAAATAGAGGGTTTGTCTTTTCACTTCAAAAGTTAATTATATTTTGATTCCTTAATCTTGCCGCGAATTTAGAATCATTTGACCATAAATAAAATGCTCGAGATATTCTCCCTTGATTTTTCCAAGTTTTATACACACACAACCAGACTAGTTAGTTAAATGAAAATTTTCAAAAGATTAGTCGCGGGGGGTAACGTCATTCTCATGCATCTTAAAAATCCGCAGAACGACTTCGAATTCTTCCTGGTTAATGAAGAATTTTTTTCAAATAAAAACCTGCTAGACGTCAATATGAACTTTACACATTTTCCATAAGAAAGTCAACACCATTAAAAATTACCCACTCTTTTTGTATCCAATTTTATTTAATAAAATAATTAAATCATTAATAAAAATAAAAATATCATTAATTTCAAATTTTCATCAAGGTATTTTCTTATGGAATCTCATTGTTTACTATTAGAAAACACCACAAGGCCTTCTATTTTAGTCGTGGCATCTTAAAAAATGTTTTGTAATTTTGATACAAGGAAAAAGTGTGTGTGTGTCATAATTATATATGTTTTGTTGTTGCCAATGGCAAATGGCCTTGGCGAAAATACCACCTATTTGCAAACCTGAGGTCCAAGGTTTGGACCTTGATCTGGCACTTGGGTGTATGAATCATGTTTAAATTGATAATTTTAAAAAATGCGCACGCGTGTTTTGTTGAATATACAATTATAAAATTAAGAATAAAAATTGAGCTTAAAGACCTTATTTAAAAAATAATTTAGACTTAAAAAATTAATTCTTTTTTTTTTTGTGGAAAATTAAGCTTCTGAGCCTGAACTTTTTAAACCCTGAAGAAAATGGGCTTGGTCCTGAGTGGCCCTTCAAACTCTGATCCCCTTTTTTTTTTTTAACACCCCTTCTTGAAGGTGCTGTGTTTTGACTTTTAATCTAGTCTATTAAAAAAAAACCTAAGCTTGCACGGACTTGACTCCTCCCTCGCTTGGCTCTTTTAATTGCACGACTCTCACCTCTCCCTCAGTCCCTCTTCTCTCTCGACTCTTGATCTCATGTCTCACCATGGGTGTTCTCACAATCTTACCATGCTTGTTACTCATCAGGCCATAGTTGTGCAGACTTTCAACCTCTCCCTCCTTTTGATCTCAGTGAAGGCAAGTCACAGTGCTCTCGCCTCTCGACCTCGCTAGCGTCACGATGCTCTTCTCCCTCCTTTGGGTCTTGGCAATAGCAAAAGCCATAGTGCCTTTGATTTAGATCTTGCCTTTATCGCTCATGATGCTTGGTCGCTCTCTTCCTAACTTCAACCTTCAGGTGCTTCTATCTCAATCTCTGCTTCAGGTGCCTTAACTATTTGATTCTATCATATGGCTTCAGTTCCTGGTTTTATGATTCTCTCATTGTTCAGGTTTATGGTCCTTTGATCTCCTGTGATTTTATTTTTGATCTCACGTCCTGCATCTTAGTCCTTCAATTTTGTTGTGTTTCCTGGTTCTGATCCTTCATGCTTCAATTCTTAATTTTGTTGTGATTCCTATAAATTTATTTTTGATTATTTTTGGTCCATTGAATGTCTTGTTGGTGGTTGTTATTTTATTTATATGAATTATATTTTTTATTTTTAAAGAAGGGCTTATGGTCTGGTTCTAAACCCTTGTTCATAAAAAAATGAGATATTTTAAAGAAATTGAGTTTAAGGGCTTAGGTTTATAAAGGTCAAGCCTACCTATCATTTATGTTTTTTCTTTTTCTTATCAAGGAATAGATCGCTTGTTCAACTCTATGAAGTAGCATTATTATAGTTAAGGGTGTTCATGGAATAAAGTTAGAACACCCTTGTCTTGTGCTGAAAAAATGATCTAAATTGAATTTTTATCTCATATCCCATCTCATTAGGAATTGAAATGAGATCAAGATCGAGCTAGGTCAGTATGTTTTGCCATCCCAATAAAGCAGATAATATGGGAGAAAGGCTTTAATAGTAGCATTTATTAAAATTTTAAATTATATAACTTATTAAATTTAATATCAAAACAATATGAGTACATAAATAATAATAATTTAAAGTTAGTTATTGAATTACATTAATCATAATTACAAGTGTACAACTTAAAATTAGGTATATATGAGATATAACATTATGATAACAATTACAAATAATCTTTAGACTATAAGAGTAACAACAATAGACAAGTCGGGCACAATATTAAATTATTATTCTTCTTCTTTAATTGAAATATGTTAAATTAGCGACTCTTCCAAAAATAAGACAAGAAATATAATATAAATAAAAATTATTAAATAGATAAATATAAAAATAAATTGTATTAATATAATTAATGTATTGTAAAGAAAGATTATATTACCTTGTATTGCTTATTTTGTATTATTAAAATTATTAATATAAAAAACTTTTAATTTTAAATACGAATTGCACAAATTAAAATTATAATTAATATAAGTATAAATTATGTTAATATAATTAATATATTTAATATATATTTTTAAAATAATGTGTATATATATACACAACATTCAAGACAAGACAAGATGTCTCGAGAGCAATCACATGTTTTATCTTTTTTTGAATTCCTTTCTCATCTTATTTCAATTATTTTTGATTTGAGATAAGACTCATTTTAATATGATTGAAATAGAATTGAATCAATTAAAACAGCTACAAGTTAAACACCTCTAGGTGCCGTAAATACGTTCCTTAACTTTCGCATGTGCTTTGCGCATTTCTCTACGGCAAACCTGCTTTAAATGTGAAAATATTTTGAATTTGTAAAAAATTTATTTTTTATCCAAGGCCCCGGATGCAAAGAAATATCTAGGATTCCGGCAGGAGCACCTCCCTCCTAAAGGCTTCACTCAACTAAAGATGATTAATAAAAAGCAAAAAACATTTTGTATTTAGTTACCAATATAAAAAATATTTATTATTTAGTAATTTTAAATTTTTATGATATTTTTGTATATCTTTATATATAAAAGAAATGATTTATCATTAGTTATTGTAAAATTTTTATCACGTATTTCCTTAATTTTTACACACCATGTTTTTTTAATTTTCAAGTATATTTTCTATTTTTTCCTGTCTAGATAATTAAGCTTATTCTTGGTAATCTACGTGGACTCAATACCTTATTATTCATGTCAATAAATTTCAATGATGTTACCTCTTCTTTAAACGCAGTTAAAAAGGAAAAAAAAAAAATCCATCTTGAAACAATAAAGACAAAATTGATAATTAAAATAAACTCAAAAGACCAAATCTACAAAAATTAAATTTGAAAAACTAAATCAATAATAAGGTAAATTTGAGGGCTAAAAAGTTTTATTACCTCAGAATCTTAGTTCAATCAATAACTACAATGTTACACAATGAAGCAATATGGGCTTTACATCTAACAACGAAATCTGAATATTTCCCTCCCATCCCATATCACAGAGGAAGCTCGGGCTGAAATATCTTGAGCGCGAACACAATTCTTATTCTGGTTTCACCGTCTTGCCATTATATCTCTGATCAGCGCCAATATCTCACTTCGCATTGCAGCAACAAAAGGAGGAGTAACCTGCTCCTTCACAGCAGAAAACCAGAGACGATTTCTCTCAGTATTTTCACCATTTACATGCCAACTACATATCACTCTTGCTATGGCTGTGACATATAAGCCGCAATCATAGCCATTCACTTGCTTGGGTGAATCAGGACATTCAAGAAATTTGGCCTCACATGGTGAGTTGGAGAGTCCTATATATCCCGCCACAGCATTATACAGTTGCTTAGCAGGTTCTTTATTCATGCTTATTGTGCTATCGTGATGAACAAAGAGGTTAGCATTTCTGTGATATGCTAGCAAGCTCCAATGGGATCCTCCTTCAGCTTGGCTGACATCATCATTGTCGTTGATGGGAAATATAACTAGTGTCTTATCTGTCAAATGAAGGGGCTCTAAGAAATCTTTCAGAGCCTCGATGACTGGGCATTTCATTATCCAGAATGCAATAGATGGTGGAACCAGCAGAATATCCTGGGAAGGATAGCATGAAGAGAGATAACTGAAATAGAATTCAATAATTCGATCATTAAGAAAATATGGACCGCTAAGGATGTCTAGATCTGAATGCCGAAGCACAACATCATTGTAGCTGAGAATCTTCTCATCTGCATGCGATTTGCTCATTTTGTGTACAGGCCAGCTTGTAAACCTGATGAAAACAGACATGGATGTATCTTGAATGAGCATCAAACACTTGTGAAAAAAAAAAAAAAGGCATGCACTCCTCCACAGTTAAGCAGCATTTTGTGCTCTGCTGTCAGTAATCTCTACATATACTACTTTCTCCAGTTTAATAGCTCAAGGTTCTGATCAGGTTAAGGAAAACATGAGAGAAAAAGGAATAGAAGTTCTATTCACATCATCAACTTGTCACTTAAAATCAATTATCAATCAATATATCTATAAAAATTGTAGGAAGCCGAACGTTCATAAGCCATAAATAATGTAACTTATTTTAGACTTAATACAAATTCACCAAACCTCACTCTAGTTTCTCAAATCCTCTTCACCAAGTTCTGTAGCCTAATGTTGGGAAATGAAGTTGCTCTTTACAGAAATCTAAGAGCAATACCTTTGCGAGAACTGCCAAAAAATCTCATTTTCCCCAACCAATTCAATGCAAGATAAGATCAAACAATTATGTCCCCAAGGCTGCAGAAAATTAAGGTGCTTTCTGAAATTCTGATCACACTTTTTCCCCTCTATCTTTATTTCTTTGGGAGGTTGCAGAAAGAGGATGGCGTGTCAGTGTATATAGACAATATTTACACAAAGTCTGACCCAATGAAGGTGGTTACAGTAGACAATTTGATTCAACCTATAGTGATTCCGACTCTCCCTGTGCCCGTCAAGTTGTGTATAACAAGTCTTACATGTTCATTACAACTTAACAACTATATGGTTTATCTCTATCCCAATTGTGTCTGATGAAAATTCACATGTCAGTCTATTCTGATTACTGTCAATTTCAAACAAACATGATCAGTCTCAAATTTATCCATATTTGATGCAAAATGGACAAGTGCAAGCATTTAAGCAGCATTAACAGTTTTTCTTTAATAAGATTGGCTCCCGTCTGGATTGATGATTATCTTCAAGTGCAACAGGTTCAATATTGCATAGCCTTTACTTATCTCATAGCCTGACGTGCTAGTACATCAGTCTTCAAGGGATTGAGAATTTAACAAATTCCCCCAAGAAATGCACCTTTTCGATGAACCTCAACTCTTTCTTTTCTAGAAACTCTTATCAACCGGGAAAAATAAAAACATAAAAGTGAATGTACAGAGTTGTGTATTCGGGTTTTTCTTGGGACGCAGTGGATATCAGGAAATTCATCGTAGATTAGAGAGACATGGATAAGCGCAAAGAGAAAAGAAATAATTAGCAAAGTTGATATCAGAAGACGGGCTTACAGTGCCGCCAAAAAGAGCCGAGGTTTCGGGAAAAGCTTTCAGACTCTGCTCGAATCTGTTCACAGTGACGGAGCTGAATCCACTCCCTTTAAGAAGATCCCGAAGTTGGATCAGGTGAGAGAACGGAAGCTTTCAATTAACCTGATAATTTACGGAATGACACAAGGCGAGACACAAAATTGGGACTGCCCCAGCACTAAAACGTAGTTTCCCGGCCACAACCGTAATTGTGAACCAAACAAGAGACAATAAACTCCAATCACGTTCTTCATCCAAACTAGGTATTCACCAGACAGATGAGATTAGGACAATCCTGTCACATGTCTCATCTTCAAAAAAAAAAAAATAAATAAATTTATCTCATATCCTATTTCATTTTATTTCAAAAATCATTCCATCTCACTAGAAAATAAAATGGAACTATAATAAGATTGAGACGTCCCGTTCTTTAAATAAATTGGATAATATCAGATAAAGATTTAGATAATAATATTTATTAAAATTTTAAATTATATAATTTATTAAGTTTAAAATTAAAACAATACAAATATATAAATCACAACAATTTAAAGTTAATTATTAAATTATATTAATCACAACTACATGTTATAATAACAATTATAAGTGATCTCTAAGTTATAAGAGTAGCAATAATATGCAAGTTAAATAGAACATCATATTATTATTCTTTTACTTTAGTTGAGATGTGTTAAGTTAGTTGTTCTTTCAAAAATAAAGCAAAAAATATAATATAAATAAAAGTTATTAAATAGATAAATATAAAAATAAATTATATTAATATAATTAATATATTATAAAGAAAGATATTTTTTACTGTATATTTTAAAATTATCAATATAAAAAAATTTAATTTTAAATAAGAATTACATATATTAAAATTATGATTAATATAATTAATATATTTAATATATATATTTAACATAAAAAAATATATATTCAGGACAGGACGAGATGTATCGATGATAATCTTGTATCCCATCTCATCCCAAATTTCTTTCCTGTTTTGTCTTGCAAAATTTCATCAATTATTTTTAAGTTGGGATGAAATCATTCTGATATGATTGAAAAAATATTAAATCAATTAAAATGAATATAAGCTGAGCATTCTTAATCCAAACCATCAGCCACGCCCGTTTGGGTAGAGACTTGAGAACTTGTTTTTGCGTTAAAAATGTCGGTTGAAGCATTGACTGCAAAATCGAAAATGTCACCCATCCAGCAATACACTCATCAATTTTGGGCGAGTTGGATTGACTTTGAACGAAATTAATTATGCATTAAATTTAACAATAAAGGGCAATTTTTTTTTTTTAACTATTTGCTCATGAATGTCTAGCATCTTGCAATTTTTCCTTTTAATATTTGCATCCTATCATTAAAAAAAGTTAACTCTTATTGTTGTTATAAAAAGATTAAAAAAAAATCATAGAAAGGAACCCAAACAATACATATAAATACCTTATAAAAATTAATATCAATTGAGTCCATCCTTAAAAAATTGACAACTAATGTAAAAAAATGCATACATTTATAAATAACACTAATTGTATACAATTTATAGATTATCATATCATACTATTTTAAAAATTTAATTGATATTAATTTTTTATAGTACTCATTTGTACTTTCATGTATACTTTTTCTAATTTTCAAGGTCAATTAATTATTAAAATTAATTTTTTTAATGGTAAGGTCAGCATACCATTTTCAAATATTATTGAAAAAAAAAAACTGCACTAGGTGTAAGTTAGGAATACTAAATACTCATGAGCGAATAATTTATGAGCAAAAATGCTCTTTAATCCTAAAGTTTATTTGTTTGGTTAATTTTAAATATAATTGATAATTGATCATGTTTTCTGTTAATTATTTTTTATATTGATTTATGAATAAAATTGATCTTGATCACAATTGAAAGGCAAAATTAAAAATCATGTAAAATCATGGTTTTATATGAAAAAAACATATCCATACATTCATATTACATGTCAGAATTAATCATGAACTTGAAACTATAACTTTCTTAAAATATGTCAAAATTAGTTATAAATTATAAATTAAAAATTATATTTTTTTAAAAAATATCCAAACACTCCACATATATCAAAATTAATTATAAATACAAAACCTTTACTGGCCGAAAAATAGGTTCTGCACTCATGTCGATGAGAAGTGCGTGTTTGTGAATGCAGATAAATAAAATATTCTACCACTTAGACATCATTTACACTAGCCGTTTTTTTTTTTTTTTTCCACTTAATATTGCTTAAAAAAGAAAAGGATTGCTTTTCATGGGCGCTTACAGTATTGTGCTACGTTACCCAGACACCTTTATTTTCTCTTATTTTTTTTGGCCCGAGCTGTACCCTGAGGATTTTTTTTTTTGGTGGGACCTGAGAAAACTATCTTGTTTAATTGTGGATAATTTTTGTCTTTCTTATAGTGGAAGTGAGGTGTTTGCTAGTTTGCAAAATTTACGCAAGCTGTTAGCCCTAACGCAAAACGCAATACTACATAGATGCGAAAGTCATGAAGCGAATGATAACGACGATCCAGTATTTTACGTTAAAATATATTTTTGAGTGTGGTGGAAGCATCACACACCAATAAATAAGTGGAATGGAATTGGAAGCATTCAAAGAGGAATGAATCGCGTGCCAAGAAAAAAAAATCGTTGGATCGCTCACCAACTATTTAAGGTCATTAAAAAAAAAAAACTTATTTGACCTCGTAGAGTTAAATAACTGAAATTTTAGCCCATTTTAAATTCCCCCTCTCAATATTTTTGTTTGGCCAAAACCCCCCCCCCTCAATTGGGAATCCCAAATAACAATGGAAGGTCATATTGGTCCAAAAAAAAAATGGAAGGTCGTACTAATAATTTACATTGACATTCATGCCAGCAATAAATGAATTTTTTTTTTCCAACTTTGGAGTATTTTTAAGTCCGGTTACTATTTCTAATACTAGTATTTTATAATATAAACAGTGACTAATTTTTCTATGAAAAAAAGTGACTAATTTTGATAACCACATCAGTTTATAATTTTTGTTTTTTTAGTGAAGTTTATCCTCTTGCTTCAACTTTTGAAAAATTATGAATAAATCTCATACAATAAATTTATTTATAAGTAAGTTCCATAAAATTCAAAAGCTATAACCAAGTTTGGATTTAGTTATAATTTATAGTTGGAGTATAAAAACAATATTATCCTTATTAATTTGGTTTTCATTTATAGTTATAACTTTACAATTTATAAATAAAATTTCATAATTTACAAGTCAAATTTTCATTTAATGTGTCACATAATATAGAATCTCTATGAAGTTAATTATATTTACTTAAGGCTATAATTAATCTAATTAAAATGTAAAATTCATAATTCACCATGTGATTATAGCTTAAGAAAATATAATTAATTCTATAAAGACTCTATATTATATCAAGTATTAAATAAGAAGTTTGACTCATAAATTAAAAAATTTTACTTATAAATTATGAATTTATAATTATAAATGAAAGCCAAATTAATAAGGATGATATTATCTTTACACTTTAATCATAAATTATATTTAAATCTGAAGGAACTTAGTTGTAATTTTTAAATTTTATGAGACTTATTTATAAATAAACATACAAGGCCTGTTTATAATTTTTTCTTATTTTTTTCACAAACCATGAAATATATTGCAAATAATAAAACTTCCTCCACTAATTTAATATTTTCATTATGTTCAATTTTAAATTTAATTTTTGTCATAATTCATACAAATATTGGTCAATGCAATTCGGCCGCTTCATTCGTTTTTCCTCCTCCGTAATGTTCAGGTACAACATACAACGCTGGTCCAAAAAAAAAAAAAAAAAAAAAACCAAGATACAACATATAACGAGAAGCCGGTGGCAATCGAATTGCGTCATCGAACCATATGCCTGAGCCGTAACTGTGAAGTTTCACCAGCTTGGGAATTCTGCTCGAATAGAGTTATTTTTATATTCTCATACTTTTCCATTAGACTTTCGAGACTTCATGTGAATTTTCCGATTCTAATGACCGTCGAGTCTCCAAGATAACATAATACCAAAACGCCGACGCGCGGGAGACGGTTTCAGATCTGAAGCGAAGATCTGATCCATCTGTGTTTGTTTCCCGGGAAAATGGATCACATCGACAACTTGCCGCCGATGGATCTGATGCGCTCCGAGAAGATGACCTTCGTGCAACTTATCATGCCCGTCGAGTCCGCTCATCGAGCTCTCTCTTATTTGGGCGAACTTGGCCTCCTCCAATTCAGAGATGTAAGTTCCTGCTCAGATCCGAACTTGTTTCCTACTAATGATGTCGTTCTTGCCTTTTTGGTTCCTTTCGTTCTTGTTTTTGCTTGCCTATTCTTCATCTTTCTTCGGGAGAGAGTTTAAGTATATATTGGAGTTTCGTGCTATTGTTTAAGTTTGAACATGAGTTCTCAGCTTTTCTGGTATGGACGGTCGTCTTAGTTTCTGTGAGTTGACAACGGGCATCAAGGAATGATGGGATATCAGCATTGTGTAATTTAACGTTGAACTTTAAATTTACTGAGATCCCATGCTAGTGTAGTGTGGATTTGACGGTGACTGGAGGCTTCTTGTTTGTAGTGCATCTGGTTTAACTGCTCGACCCTTCATGCGAACAGTATATGCAAACTGATTCAACATTTAAGTGTTTTTATTTTCACGTTAAATTTCTTTAAACATTGAATCTAATAATGGTTTGAGAGGTGCAAATTTAACAGAATTATGGTTTCTTGAGTTTAGTGTTAGTCATCGGTCTTTACTTGGTTAGCCAAGTTACAGTTTGATAATAGTTTCTCAAGTTATGGAGACTTCCCGCACTAGTCGATGGTGGTTAATACCTTATCTCAGTGAGTCACTGGTTCAGATATGTGGACTGCAATTTAGTTTCTATCAACTAGGTTTGATACTGCCTATTCGCTGACTTGAATCATACGTTGTCGTCTCTGCATCCATTCAGGGCTAGAAGGTCAGTTATCTTGTCAGTTTGGTTCATTGGAATTTAAGATTGTGGCTCAATGCATATGCAGCTAGTGTTGGTCATGGTTGGGCCCACTGATCATTTAGGACAAATTGATCTAGTATGTCTAACCATCAGTGATGTCAAGAGAACTTTTTTTGAAGGATTATCTATACTGTACTATATATGTATACATGCCATTATGCCTTAGGAGTTAGGTCATGTGGGTTTTTATCCGTATAAAAACATTGGCCTAAGAAATAGTAATAGAAAGTTGTGATTAGTGGCATTTAAAGTTTACAACTCTTCCAATCTTTCTTTCCTAAATAAAAAAGAAAAAAGTGGATTGACATGCTAGACAATAGTTACTTTTGCACATGTCTCAAGTGAATTACTCCGTTCGTCTCAAATTATAAGACATTTTTAGACAAAATCTCGCATACAAATAAACTTCATTAAATAGACTTAACAACCTTATCTTCAAAAAAAAAAAAAATTAAACTTCCAAATATATCTATAATTTAATATATTGAAAGGAGAAGCGGGAATTAATTATAGAGAGAAAAATGGTAATATTAGAATTGTTACATTTAATGAAACCTTAATCTACTTAAAGTGTCTTATATTTTGAGATGGAAAAACTCTTTCAAAGTGTCCTATAATTTGGAATGGAAGGAGTATTTAGAATGGCATGGGAGAAAATTTATCAGTGGCTGCTTAATTATATGTGATGACATGCAAAAATATTGGTGGAGTCTCATGCACTTAATATCTGGAACTTGCTCTTTATGTTCCAGGCTTTTCATTATCTGAATGTTCTGTATAAGCAGACTTTGTTAAATTGGTTTATGGTTCTGATGGCTTTTCTCATATATCAGCAACCAATGAACTAAAAGTGGGGATGTTATTTGAAAATTTGAATGTCATATTAGGAACAGCTCATTCAATTCTGTCTCTCTTTATGAGTTTTATGAAGGGTTGTTAGGAAATACATGAAGTTTGCTGAAGTATTTACTTTTGCTGTGCAGGAATCTAAGTAATTTGTGCTGTTCTGAATTTTTGGATATGATGTGATTGGATTATAACCTGTTTTGATCTTTAATAATGCATATCTGATGGACACTCTTTTATTTTTATTTTTTTTTTTTTTTTTGTAGTTGAACAATGATAAAAGCCCCTTCCAGAGAACCTTTGCTAATCAGGTAACCTTCACAGCTCTAATTTGATATCCCTTTGCATTCTAAAAGCTGTAATTTATGGCCTCATTATTGAATTATTATTAAATCACTGATTAGTATTATAAGTAGATAAAAGGAACTATGAGATGCATCAATGTATATTTAGACTGAACACACTGCTATCTGAAATTAAAAGTTACAAGTTTTATAATAAAAAATAATAAAGTAGTTATGATGTGTGATAGTAATTTCAAAATTGATTTTGTTTCATTATTTCTGATGGTAAATGCATTTCTTTTATGGCAGGTAAAGCGGTGTGCAGAAATGTCGAGAAAGCTGCGATTCTTCAAGGATCAAATCAATAAAGCTGGTCTGATGTGTTCTCCTAGTCTTGTCTTGCAACCTGATATTGAGTTAGAGGAACTAGAGGTTCCTTTCTATCCTACTGCAATTTCCCTTCAGATATGATGGGTCTCCTAGGCTTTGCATAAAGTTGGTGCTTAGTGATTTTCTATTTTAGATGAGTTCCTTTTCTCTTGAATCTGACAATATATGTCATCTGTTGGATTTTACTCGTAACAGGCACAGCTTGCTGAACATGATCATGAGCTAAATGAAATGAACTCTAATAGTGAGAAGCTTCAGCAGTCATATAATGAGCTCCTGGAGTTCAAGATTGTATTGCAAAAGGTAAAAATTTCTATGCTAGCTTGTTCAGTAATTCATTTTGGAAAACAGTGGCCTTCCTGATCATTACTAAGTCTAAGCATAAGAATTTTGTTTATTTTTCCATTTTTCTTCAATAATACTGGTTTTAATGTGTTCAATTAAAAATATATGTGTTTCTTTGTTCTTCACGTATCACTCCTATTATTTCAGTATAAAATTCTTTCTAGTGTATCTAAAATAATAATTTTGTGGGGAAATTTCAGGCATGTGGTTTTCTTGCATCGAGTCATACCCATGCTGCTATAGAGGAGAGAGAACTGGAGGAGCACGTATACTCTAATAATGATGATTATGTTGAGAGTGCATCTTTGCTTGAACAGGTTTACTCTTATGTCCTCAGCGATCCTAGATATTTTTCCGTTATGAGAAGTGTGGATTCTGTTTCTGGTTACACACGCTTGCACATCTTTTCTTTTGACTATTCTATGATAACTGTTTCTTTTTCAGGAAACAAGGCCTGGATCATCAAATCAATCTGGTTTAAGATTTATCAGTGGGATAGTTTGTAAATCTAAAGTTCTTAGGTTTGAAAGGATCTTGTTTCGTGCAACAAGAGGCAATATGCTTTTCAACCAGGCACCGGCTGATGAACAAATCATGGATCCTATTTCAACAGAGATGGTTTTCTTCTTTTCTACTACTTTATCACTTTTAAAAAGGCTGATGAGTTGACCATATATATATTTTTTATATTTATGGCATAGATAATTAATTTAACTTGTTATTACCATGATCTATTTTAGGCCTTGTTTGATTTTCCCAATGCACTTTCTATGTTCCATGACCTTGATTCTTGAACTGTCCTTTTCAGGTTGAGAAAACTGTGTTTGTTGTATTTTTCTCTGGGGAGCAGGCAAGAACAAAGATTCTGAAAATCTGCGAGGCATTTGGTGCAAATTGTTACCCTGTGCCTGAAGATATACATAAACATAGGCAAGTAACTAGGGAGGTAAATATGCTCATATGGAGGTTGAACACCTCTCTTTTGAAAGCTCAAGCTTAGATGCTATTTCCGGTATCTTTAGTCATGCTGATTCTTTCATGTTGTACTTAAATATGCACTCTTTTATTAAAGAATAGGCGCAAAAATGTGATTTAGGTGAGATTGGGTTTATTTGGGACAACATTTTGCAAGAGAAAGAAAAAATTGCAGGTTCTCAGTTACATATTTTGAAATTTCACTTCGTTCTGGGTTATGGACTGTCCCGAATTCCTTGCAACATTTTGTACCAGTTACCAAACTTTAGTTCAAATATTTAGGCTTCAGAGGCTTTTTTACAATCTAAGAGGCTTTATTTAGATGTTTTCTGCTTTGGGTTTCTTTTCCAGCGATGCCTTTGGGAGTAGTGTCACAATCAATTGATTGAAGTCTATTATTGCTTGTCCTCCTGCGTTTTTGAAGTTGTTTTATACGTTATCACTGGTGGTTGTAAACTATATGGCTTGTGGTTGAAAAGGTTCAGATTTTCGTGACAGGTTTCATCACGTCTTGTTGACTTAGAAGCAACTTTGGATGCTGGTATTAGGCACAGGAATAAGGCCCTTGCTTCCATAGGGGGTCATTTAGCAAAATGGATAAATATGGTAAAATATGACATGTGCCCTCTGCATGTTTTCTTTTTATATATTTGCTTGTACCTTCAAACTGATTTCAACAAGTGATTATTGTATGCATGTGAGGGATATTTAATACTCCCCCCAATCCTTTTTATAAGTCATTCCTACCAATCTCACCAATACCAATGCAAAAGAAAAGGAATAAAAGTGTGTAAAATTCCAAATATGTCCCTTTATAAAAAATCTCAAAAGTAATACCATGTTACCTTTTTTCCCTCATGAAGGGTAATTTCGGAAATACTTTTCAAATATTATCTAAAAAGCCATACCATAACTTATAAATTGGACTAAATGGGCTTTATAGAATGTGTCTTATAAATGGGACCGGAGGGAGTATGAAATAACGGTGCTTATTGCTAAACTTTTCCTAGGTAAGAAGAGAGAAGGCTGTGTACGATACACTCAACATGCTTAATTTTGATGTCACAAAAAAATGCCTTGTTGGAGAGGGATGGTGCCCTATATTTGCAAAAACACAGGTTATGCTAACTCCTTATGTTTGAGTATTTGAAACATTTGACTTTTCATATATATTCTCATAAAAAGATTGCATCTATTGATTATAACAGATCCAGGAGGCTCTGCATCGTGCAACTTTTGATAGTAATTCTCAAGTTGGCATAATCTTTCATCCGATGGATGCAGTGGAATCACCACCTACTTATTTTAGAACCAACTGTTTCACAAGTGCTTTCCAGGAAATTGTTGATGCATATGGGTGAGTCTAATATCTGCAGTGTTGTTGCAGCAACGTGAATACGTTAATGTCTTGAAGTTGGTTTTGGGATTACTTGATAGTGCATGAATTAGTAATCATCATTAATTGATTCAAGGATGTATCATGGCCAAATTAAACTATTGACTTCTAAGCTGTTACTTCTGAAGTTTGCAGCCATGATAACTGCTAAGGTTAATGGTGATCCCCCCTTTTTTTGGCAGTGTTGCAAGATACCAAGAAGCAAACCCTTCAGTTTACACAGTAATTACATTCCCATTTCTTTTTGCTGTGATGTTTGGGGACTGGGGTCATGGAATTTGCCTGTTGCTGGGAGCATTAGTTCTTATAGCACGTGAAAGCAAGCTCAGTACACAGGTAATTTCATTCTGGCCATGCTGTTTTTTAAACAAATTAATAAATATTCTCACAAAATAATAACACTACTAAAACAGGTTTGTAATATAATATGGTATACCTTTGATGAATAAAAACCAATGTCAGATGTCAAAAATCTCACATTCCTTTTCCATCTCACTAATAATAGGGTTGTCATAATCATTTCTCTTATGATAAATTGTATTCAATATTTCAATTCTACCAGAAACTTGGAAGCTTTATGGAGATGCTATTTGGAGGGCGCTATGTGCTTCTTTTGATGGCAGTGTTTTCAATCTATTGTGGGCTAATCTACAATGAATTCTTCTCTGTTCCTTTTCATATTTTTGGTAGATCTGCTTATGATTGCAGAGATACTTCGTGCAGGTGTGCTCTATCTTTTTCCAGTCTTCATTCTTTGTGCCTGTTAGGTGTTTTTGGTTCTGTCATTAAGATATTTGGTCATTACTTGTTGGTGCTTAACACGTCTCTGTAATTTCTGGTGTTGATATGTTCATTAAATTTTTCTATACTTAAATGGAATTTATATTTGGTTGGAACCTCTGTGCCTTTTTCTTTGTTTGGTGGTGCATGCTATTTCATGTGAACATGACTTGATATGATACATGATAATAAAATATATATTTTTTCTTCTGTACAAATGTTGATCAAATTGTTTTTGTACTCTTAAATCATGAAAAGGATCTATGAGTTTGACCCCATCAGATGTGTTTGGTAATAGTTTCAAGATGGTTGCCTTAACATATAATATGCTCAAATGTGTGTGATTCTTGATGGTTGTTATTTAAGACTGTTGAAAAATCTATTGGATAATTTTAATAGCTTCTTTGCTTGTAGATTGCCCAGATGTAGAGGCTGTTGTTACGCTGTTGTATGACCTCACCCAGAATTAGATGTTTTTAAGATTACTGCGGTTCCTTTCTTGAGATTTTTGGATTCATATTTATTTCAATGTTATCAGGGCTCATGTGATTCAAATCTCTCATTTGCTCTTCACCATATTGCTCTGTTTATATTCTTTCTTTCAAACTGTTCTGATCAATCCTGTCTGAGCATGTGTGCCTTGAAAAGTCTTCCTTGGCAAGGTTTATCTTTTGTGCTATATAGCTTTTCATCATTCTTCTTGTCTGGTCAGGGATGCACATACTGCTGGCTTAGTCAAATACCATGATGCATACCCATTTGGTGTGGATCCCAGCTGGCGAGGAAGTCGATCAGAATTGGCTTTTCTGAACTCACTCAAGATGAAGATGTCCATTCTTTTGGGGGTGGCACAGATGAATTTAGGAATTATATTAAGTTACTTCAATGCTCGTTTCTTTGGTAACTCAGTGGACATAAGGTATCTCTCACTTTTGCTAAGCACCTGCACCATTCCCTTGCCAACACTTAAGTAATCTTAACTTATTCTCCATTTTGTTGTCAGGTACCAGTTTGTGCCACAGATGATTTTCCTTAACAGTCTATTTGGGTATCTTTCCCTTCTCATTGTTGTTAAGTGGTGTACTGGGTCTCAGGCAGACCTCTATCATGTAATGATTTACATGTTTTTAAGTCCCACTGACAATCTTGGTGACAATCAGTTGTTCTGGGGCCAAAGGCCACTTCAGGTTTGCTTACAATTCTTTTCTCCGTTTTGCTTAAACTAGTTCTGTACTGATTCCTGGTTGTGATCATTCTGAATTAGAGATCATCATATACAGATTGTGTTATTGCTATTGGCTATAGTTGCAGTTCCATGGATGCTCTTTCCAAAACCTTTTATATTAAAGAAGCTTCAAATAGAGGTACTGCCTTTCCCTCCCTCGCATATGATTGATTTATCTTGCTTAAAAGTAGCAAGTCTTTTCACCGAATTTTTAACATAACAATAAGAGGTGATTCTTGAGGTGTTTTGGAGGATTAATAATCACTTATCTTGATTGCATTGTACAGAGATATCAAGGACATAATTATGATAGGCTTAATACATCTGAGATGGATCTTGAGGTGGAACCAGATTCTGCTAGGGCTAGGCAACACCATGAGGAATTCAATTTTAGTGAGGTCTTTGTTCACCAAATGATACACTCCATTGAGTTTGTCCTTGGTGCAGTTTCAAATACGGCATCATATCTTAGACTCTGGGCATTAAGGTTTGGTCAGCCATGATTTCCCCTCATTGCAATGAATTCCTATATTCTATATTATTGTCCCTTGGTTGATACTTGTTACCACTATTGCAGCTTGGCTCACTCAGAGCTTTCTACTGTTTTCTATGAAAAAGTCCTCCTTCTTGCTTGGGGGTAAGTTAAATCCTGTCATCTGGCTTGATTTTAATGTACCTTTGACCTTGTCGTGGAGAAATGTTTTGCTTTCTTTATTATTATTGTCTCTTATTTTGATGGGCATTCAGCAGCCCTCAGCGGAAAACGTTCACCTATAATTAAACTTGGTGCAATGTGATTCTATACAGGGTTCTTTAGATTCACAATTTTGAAATCCTGGAAATCATGAAATTATTAATAAAATTTGTTTTCTGTAATCCAGAGTTTGCAAGATGCTTACAAAAGATGATTTTAATGATGAAATCTCGCCACTTTCTTATTTTGAACTGTTGTCTTGACTTGACATGTTTTATTTTGGGTGACAGTTATATCCTTTGATGAGATTCTGAGCATTTGTTTGCATGACAATTGACATAGGACCAAGCTGATTCTTTCCATTCATGTAGCTTTGCTGTATTGATGCATTTTCTTGTGAAAAAGAAAACTGACATTCTGCTTTGATATGATTTGTTGAATCCTTCCTGTTTAGTCAGCCGACTTCAACTTCATGAGATGGTGGTAAGGTTAGAGCATTAATCTTCTGATAGGTGGGACTGGATGAGTTTCTTATTTTCTGGTTCATGGTAGAGTTTTTCTTTTTCTTTTTCTCTGTGTTTTCCCCCTTTCGGGATCAATTGGTCTGAAATAGTTTATTGAATTACGTTATGGTTTAATTTATTGGTGGCGAAGTTAATATTTTGTCTAGTAAAATCATTTTAATCAATTTAAATTCTATTTAGTTCTGACTTCCAGTATTTCATCTTTGAGAATTATCCATGCCTGTCCATATCAGCATTTCTTTTCAGATTCTTTTTTGTCAAATTCTTTCATAGTTAAAGGCATTGTTCATTGCTATTATAACAGGTATGACAATCTGGTCATTCGCTTAGCAGGCCTAGCTGTTTTTTCCTTTGCAACTGCCTTCATACTACTCATGATGGAGACGCTGAGTGCTTTCCTTCACGCCCTGCGTCTTCACTGGGTAGAATTTCAAAATAAATTCTATCACGGGGATGGATATAAGTTTAGACCTTTTGCCTTTGCCTCATTGGCAGAGGATGATGATTGATCCAATCATGTCTGTCTGTCTTTCCTGGCAAAGAATATACAGAAAGATGCGGCACTACTCAAATTTGTAGAAGGAGCACTAAATGAGATTTTGTAGGCAGCTAATTTCGTCGTTGGGCTCGCTTGTTGCAATGCCAATTCTGCTTGATACTGACCTATCAACCAAAACTTATGGCTCGTGTTCCCGTGGCTATGCTTGTGTGAAAGATAAAAGATTGCTGCGAACCCTCACCGAAGGCACATGTCACAATATTTTGCTTTCGATTTTTCCCTTTATAGAATAGGAAGAGAAGTAAAGCCAATGTTTAGACTAATTTTTGTAGAGAAGCGGGGGATTTGTCATAGAATGTAGCTATTGAATTTTGTTTGTTTGGGGTCACACATACACACACACACAATGTGATCACTTCACAATGTAGCACCGGTTTTGCTGGGAATTGGCCTTTTTTTTTTTTCCGTTCGAGTATCATTTCTTGTAATCATAAATGATTGATGACATTGACAACCTAGACGGTCCCATTTTTTGTACGGACTAATCGAAGTAAAATATAAGTTGAATAATACCATCTCTTTCTCGAGTTTATGGTGGAAAAAATGGTCAGTCGGCACCATGACCTAGCCCAAGGGTATAATTTTAGTGTGCCGTCGTCCCCTTTCCACTGTGCATTGTTGAATTATTTGAACGGCTCTTGCAATGTGTTAGTAATAATTTTTAAATTTGATGTCATGAAGATTGAGAGAAGAACAAGAGGGAGTGATTTCGCAAAACTCTTCCAAAGTTAGAGAAGAGAGTCAGAGAAAGACGGATTATATTACGTCCGAGTTTTTCCTGTTCCAAATTCTACTGTTGTAGTTTTTTTGTTTTACATTCTAGTTCCAATCATGTCCATGATGGTTTTCTTTGCACCACTACACTATATGCCTACCTTATCACTTTTAACACCGTCGTTTAGGCCATGCTGAACATGTTGAAGTCAAAATGGTATTACAATCCTGTAACATTCCTATATCAGGTAAAGAAATTTACTTTCCCTGCACTTTGTTGCCATGCAAATCACATAACTCGCCTTCAATATCTTCCCCTCCCCTCATTCGTGCGTAAAACCTTTGGAACTAGCCTTTTGCAGATGTGTGGTGTCCTTCCCAGCTTCCCCGTATCAATCAATATCAACCTATGGTTCATATATCATATTATTGCTCCATTTTTATAAATGCCTTTCCAAAATTTTGCCAGCTGTATCCATTAAAGAACAAAATTGATGTCCGGGCCACTGTCATGACCTTCAAAACCACGTTGCTTTTTTTTGTTTTTAGCTAAGTGATATTGGGTGTGAACTGATACTTTATATTTTGAAATGATGCCATAATTTTTTGATATGATGATATCAAATAGGAAAAATGACAATTGAAGACTCCATAGGACCATTAATCACAATTAGGAATTTTGAATTATTGAAACCCAAATAATAAATCATAATCTTTATTTGAAATTAAAATACATATAAGTTTACAAAATTGCTTTGAGTACTGAATTTACTATGATGGGTTGAAACTATTATTAATTAAGGAAAAATCAAGATCCATATTTGGGAATGGAATTAACAATAATCTTTACCCATAATAGTAATTTTAATAGTCTCAACCCATAACACTTGGAATGTTAATTTTTTCAATTGAAATTAACAATAATTCCAACCTATGATAGTCAATAATATATTTTCTTGATTTTTCAAGTGCCTTACCTATATATTGACAAGTATAAAATTCAAAAGTAATTGGCTTCATATTCAAAAGTAATTTTGGTATATTTTCAATTGAATATTGTATATTTATAAGTACTTTTCAAAAGTTTTACAAATAAATTTTGGTTTCATGTTAGGAAACATCTCGTTCTCAAGTGTGAATTTTAATTTTTTTCAACTAAGATTAGCAATAGCCTTAACCTATCATAATAATTTCAATAGTATCTTTTTTTATGTTTCAAGTGAAGACAATTTTGTAAACTCATATATATTTTTAATTTCAAGTGAGGATTATAATATATTATTGGAACCTCAATAATTCAGGATCTCTAATTATAATTAATAGTCTTATGAGGTCTTTAATTGTTATTTTTCATCAAATATTAAAATCAAAATCGTTTAATTAATTATTTATTTGAATTTTAAATTTTCACAACTTTTTAGGGACTAATCTTAGCAGAGTATAATTATTAAAGTTTAAAAAAAATGCCAAATTTTATGCGACACTGCCCTTTGACTATGCCTAGTTTTTGATTGATCCAAATTTGTGCTTATTAAAAATTTGACTTCCACATTTCTGTAAAGTAGCCGGTTATGTTATTTCTTGACCGGACCCAAATTTGGACTTGGTAAAATATTGACTCTTCACATATTCTAGCTGTAACGACACATATCACACAAATTTGGGCCAACTCAAATAAATTTAAAAAAAATTTTAAAATTAGTACAATAATGATATTTTTAACATTTAAGCATATTAGAACTATCTCAAATAAGATCAAAAAATTTGAGTCGAGGTTGACAGGTGTTAGTGTTTGGCTTGAATATCTAAATAAAAAAAATACATTTTTAAAAATATATAAAATATAATAAATATTAATTAAATTTTTTAAGTTTTAGGTCATTTTATATTAAAACACCATATATTTGAGTGCATTATTATAGAAATATTTTTAAAAAATAAAAAATATTTATATTGTCATATTTTTATTATTTTTAATCAATGAAATATTATTTAAAATGTATTTTAATATTGATTTTTAGATCTTAAGACCCACATATTTTTTACAAAAATTTGAGTCTTATGCATCTTTTAAGTATTCAAAAAATATATTTTATAAAATAAAAATAATTAATTTAAAATAAAAAATTCAAGTTAAAATTAATTTTAAAAATAAAATGCCGGTGTCCAAGACCTCCAAAGCATGAATAATTCGGGTTGAGATTAGCCATTAGATATTTCAAAAAATTTAAGCCTGTTTGAGTTGAACTTATTCAAATTGAAGAAGCCTTGCTTGCTCAAATAACATATCCCCTTGCCAACTTTTATCTTTGGCTGACCTTTGTGACTTGAAGTGCAATATTTTATGCTTCCTCCATGACAAAAAACTCTCTCAATTCTCTCAAAATGTAAAATAGTTTAATAAAAATAAGATTTTATTAATAAAATTTTTAATATTTATCATTCCCATTATATTATCTCTCTATTTTATATTGTTTTCATAAATAGAATATTAATGAGAGACTTTTTAGAATTTTATATTTTTGTTTAGAACAATAAGAATGAAAAGTGTATTTGGTGATTTTTATTGTTGTGCATGATTTTACATAAAGTATCATATAAATAGTACGGTTAGAGTCTATTTTTTGGATAAATTAGCCAATTTTTTGGATAAATTAGCCCACGAGCTAAAAAACTTCTTATGCCCTAAAAATATAGATTAAATTTTTAAAAATTTGAGAGTATGGTCATTCACATTGATATACAAAAAGGTTTATCATCAATGAACAAGAAATTTATAATTGAAAATTTTAGGATTTATCTTTAATATATAATGGTATATTATTGAAAAATATAATCAATTTGTTATGATATAAAATATAATAAATGTTAAGCTGTTTGCTTAGTTTGATTCTATAACGTGGATTATATTTGCAAAAGCCTCTTTTTTTAATGTTGAAAAACATACAAATATTAATTATATAAAAATTAGTTTTTTTAATCATTTTTACCCCTTATTTAATGTCAAGATATTTTAAACATTAACTATCTAGAAACAAATATTAATTATACTTAAAAATGGAATTTTTGGAAACACGTATTTTTTTTAATATTCAGAAATCTGTATCAGAACTTATATTTAGGGGAAAAATTGAAAAATAGGATTTTTTATTTTTTAAAAAATAATCATTTAAATATAACTTACATATCTGAATTTCATGCTCCGTGAGAAGGTGGCATTACCAATAAAACAACTTGCGGCAAGTATTATATATTTAAAACATGCAAGTTAATATTATATTATATTATAAACAAATAGTTTTCAAAAGCTGAGGAAGCATCATATATTTAATACAAATTGACTGGCACTAATTTTCCCTCGTGCGTGCGAGTGTTGACATTGCCCTGATGATGCCGTATGAACTTTTCAAACTGGAATCTGCGGGCAGAGGCTTACAGGACTCTTTCACGTCTTGCTTTTTAGTATTTATTTCTCCCTAATGCCATCAGCAAGGACGTTTTAGCGGAGAAGCGATAGGTTTCCAAAGCTAATCTCTTTAAACTTTGGACTTTGATGAATCGCTGTCAAAGAAATATCAAGTGCTTGACTCGCAGAAACTAAAGCCATTTTAAGATAGATGTATTTTATTCTCCAACGTGTCGTAGAAGCTGTTATTGCACAAATTAATGAAATTTTTTATACGCCGGCGCTTCGGACACATTTTCAACATGTGGTGGTGGTTTGATTATTGATGTTTCTTTTACAGCAATTTCATGATAGAATATTGACGCTGTCCGAAGAGGATCTTGGTTAAACTCGTGGAAAAAATTAAATTAGTTTGTATTCAAATCTCAGAGTTCGAGAATATTATCCTCCTCTGGTACATGGTCAGAAGACATAAGTCGCATATAGCCCAGGTACGTAATTTTCTGGGGTAAAAGGTAATGTGATTGAAAAAAAAAATTCACAGACTTAAAACGCAAAAGGCTCTAGCATATTTTTTTGTTCTTTATTTAGTTTTTTAAAATAAAATAAAATATGAGATGAGATGGCCGATGGCTTCCAAGTCTTAAAGCGAGGCCTCCCGTCCTGATGCGATAAACAATATTATGGCAGTTGAAATAATTGAACAAACATAGGCCGTTGATGAGAGGCGGCTACAATATGAGCCTTCCGACTACCTTCTCCTCCAAACGCGTTCCTGGATTTTCTTCTAGCGCGTTTTCGCCTCATCTTCGTTGCATCTACTTCGAACTCAACTTCAAGACCAAGCACACACTACGACTCTCCTCTCATAGTAAGACTGTCCTCGCATCATATTTAAGATCTTCTTCTCCTTATTCAACAGACCATCTTCTTCTTCCTTCGTCAACGTTTTACACCGAGAGAGGGGAGAACTGGTGTTGAAAGATCTTGAGAGAGAGAGAGAGAGAGAGAGAGAGAGAGAGATAAAAGGCTTCTTGTGAAGTAGTTTGTGAGTGACAGAAAAATGGTGGATCCGAACACCGGCGCAGATTTTCCGGCCGTTCCGACTCACGGAGGGCAGTTTATTCAGTATAACATATTCGGAAACCTCTTCGAAGTTTCAGCGAAGTACAGGCCTCCGATTATGCCTATCGGTCGCGGTGCCTATGGAATTGTCTGGTACTCTTTCGTTCAATACATGTTCCCCTCAACTTTTCGTTGTGCTGCGTGTGCGCGCCTTTTTTTTTTTTTTTTTAACTTTCCGTACGTTGGATCATTGAAATTTTAAGCAGTGTCATTAGTTACTGAAAAGTTAGTTATTATGTTCCATGTGATAATGAAGCTCGCTGCTGAATACGGAGACTAACGAAATGGTGGCTGTTAAGAAGATAGCGAACGCTTTTGACAATCTCATGGACGCTAAGCGCACGCTCCGTGAGATCAAGCTTCTTCGGCATTTGGATCATGAAAATGTGAGTATCTCTCTTCGGCAAGTGAATTCAGATATGGCGAATAATTGGCGTTTATCTTTTTGTCTGCTGCTATGTTTCGCTTACTGGAAATCGTGTAGTAAATTATTCATTTCTGTGTTCCATTATTGATTGAAACGGATGGTTAATTTTGAGTAAGCTTGTAGCGATATAGATATCCATAATAATAGTAAAATTTGGTACAGAGTTTATCTCCCATTGTTGACAATGGTTGGCCATGACTTTCCGATTTTAGGAACCCACGTTATAAAATCTTAAAAGCCTTTTGACAAATTACTTGCCAAATATCATTATAGGAATTTGATGCCTGCATGGGAATATCCTCTAATTTTCTCCCCTTTTGGGACTTGAAATCTAGTTATAAAATCTGTGAATAACAGGTAATTGCTTTGAGAGATGTGATTCCACCACCCTTGCGTAGAGAGTTTGCCGATGTCTACATGGCCACGGAACTTATGGATACTGATCTTCACCATATCATCCGCTCGAATCAAAATCTCTCGGAGGAGCACTGCCAAGTGAGTGCTGTTTTCCCCCCCAAAGTATTAATTGTCTTCTCCGCAATATATCGCTCTAATATCTTGCTGATGATTGGATGCTCTTGCAGTACTTCTTATATCAGATTCTTCGTGGGCTAAAGTATATACATTCTGCAAATATCATCCATAGAGATTTGAAACCAAGTAACCTGTTGCTGAACGCAAACTGTGATTTGAAGATTTGCGATTTTGGGCTTGCACGAACGACTATGGAAAATGATTTCATGACAGAATATGTAGTCACTAGATGGTATAGGGCTCCTGAATTGTTATTGAACTCCTCAGATTACACCTCTGCGATAGATGTTTGGTCTGTAGGTTGCATCTTCATGGAGTTGATGAATAAAAAGCCTCTATTTCCTGGCAAGGATCATGTGCATCAGATGCGCCTATTGACTGAGGTGAGATGATAAAATATAGGTATCTTGGCTACCGCATACTGACATAAAATAGCATATGATATTCATTTAAGGGGCTCATATAGTTTAACAATCATAGACCTTTAAGTTATTAAGATGTTAGATACAAAAACAATCATTAATTTACTTGTATAGTTGTATGTAATGCAACTTCTGGATGTATGCTTACCCTGGTTATTCTCTGTAGCTTCTTGGCACTCCAACTGAGGCTGACATCGGATTAGTGAAAAATGAGGATGCAAGGAGATATATCCGACAACTTCCCCGATATCCTCGTCAGCCTTTAGCAAGGGTTTTCCCTCATGTTCAGCCCTTAGCCATTGATCTCATCGATAGAATGTTGACTATTGACCCTACACGAAGAATTACCGGTAATTTTCTTATGACTAATCTGTCATTTACGCTTATGTTGCTAGATAAAAATCAACTGGGTTCTTATTGAACAACCACGGAAGCTGCATTAGCAAGGGTTGAGCCAGAATTTGATTATGAAAGGACCAAGATTAAAAAGTATATACACTACAAAGTGTGCAAAAATCTAGCGGACTGGAATTATATAACACGAATAAAGACTTGAAATTTGAAAACTTGGGGTGGCCAGCTAACCCCACACTCATGGCTTTTCTTTATTCTAGTTGCACTTAATGTTGCTTTGTAGAAGCACTGAACTTGCAATGTATAATTATCGCTAGCTTCAATCTGCTTAATATAATGACGATAACGGAAGTAGCATGTTGTGGGGTATGAAAAGGAGAGTGAAAAGAATCATTTATGAATGATCTGAAAGAGGAATAAAAACGAATTGCACTTGACCGTCACATATATTACTACTTTGAACTTAGTGGACTTCCTTTGTTCTCTTGCTTTAATAAAAAGGAGCAAGTAATGGGATCAGCAGTAAAAACTATGTGCTAAAATATGATATGAACACTGAAAACATTCCAAGTTTAAAATGTAAAGAGAAATATGCATGAAAAAATGTTGATTCTGTAATCTCCTCAGTTAACTCATGGGATCTTGGAATTTAAGAAGTTAAAAAGTATTCGGCGTAGGAGACTTATGTGGTACCAAGATTGTCAATAATTGGTTCCAATACAACTTTTAGCAGTGTTTTTGGATAGTAATAATTTTACTCAAAGCATGCACAGGAAGTTGTTGAGCTAGACTTTCTGTTTACTGAACTGTTTAGTGTTAGCATTAGTCTCTTTTTTTTTCCCCCCTAATACAAGGCCATGGAGTAACCGTGCAAAAGACTAATAGATAGTCATGTCTATAGCCATGAGGCTATTACAGTCAGGGCGGGTTGTCAAAGATACAAATATCAAAATGATGATAAGTCAAGTTATGGGCTAGAAGATCAGTGTATTTGTTAGTTTCTCTATAGACAGTCAAAAATAACCAGCCAGTTTCTGTTAGCATTAGTTTTTGACTCTTCCATATATGACATGAGAATTAAAAAACACACGAATTATAAAGAAGGGACCGACAATGTTTATCAGGCCATGTTCTATTTTAATATGGTTTAACTATAGTAGGCTCAATGAAGAGTACAACTGCTAATGAATTGGTGGAAATTTCATTTCTATTTGCTTAATGACGTGCAGTTGAAGAAGCGTTAGCGCACCCATACCTTGCTAAACTACATGATGTAGCTGATGAGCCAGTCTGCCCAGAGCCATTCAACTTTGATTTTGAGCAAAATCCCTTGGGAGAAGAGCAAATAAAAGATTTGATCTGCGAGGAGGCCTTGGCATTTAATCCAGTGTACGCATAAAGAATATGCACAAGGAATATAAAACTTAGAAGGGGAGAAAAAAGAACCTGAGTTGTCGACATTATCATCCTCAAAGTTCACAGCAATGAAATTTTTCGGAGAACGAATCATGTTGAGATGACAGAGCACCCCGTAAGTTTTAGTTTTGCACCAATGGCCGCCCATCTACTGTAAAATCGCTTTCTGTAGTGATAACCTCTACTGTAACTTTGTGCGTCCTGTTTAGTTGGGTTTTTTTATTCAATGAATATTTCAATGGCATAATGTATTAATGTAACATTTTTAATCCCTTGCGAACTATACAGTCACTGTAGTGGACAAATTCGAGGAGTAATATTTCTTGCTCAGTTTATCGCGCATCGATCGGTCGCAAGTAAGAACTAAAGTCTATGTGGGGGCTTCTGTAAATCTCAAGCCTCACCCCGTTTGAACTCGAGTAGCTTTGGCAGTGGTGTTTTAGAACCAGAATCCAACCTCCATCCAACTTTCATTGGGGGAACAAAAGAGGAAACGCTTCCATTCCTTGTCTTTCACAGTTCCGTTCTCTTCTTACTTTCTAACTTCTTTAGGTAATGTTTGAGTTTTTTTTCTTTGGGATGGAATGCAATGAGATGACTAAAAGTCTTATATCATTGTTTAAAAAAAAAAAAATTAATAGAGTGGAATGCTTGGGGTGACTTTTCAAATCATCTCTTACTATTCTAAACTCAATTTTTTTTTTTACCTCCTACAAGAATGAAATGGTATGATAAAAATAAATTATTACAAAATTATCCCTATCCTTCTCACTCCCCTCTCACTTTTTCATTCCCCATCATTGTAAAGTTGAAAAATATAATCATTTTCTAATTCAAATATATTTTTTATAATTAGTTAAATAATGATTAAATAAAATTATTTATTCATTTAATAAAACTCCAAACAATGGAATGTTTCACTCTACATTTCATTTCATTAATAAACATTCATTTTCATTACATCATATACTTTTAAACAAATCTTTAACTTCCAAGCTTCCTATCAAATATATACAGATACTCGATTCAACAATAAGCATTCAAGTAATGATTTAAAAATCAAACCAAACCGGATAGTCAGATCGGTTGGATCGTTGACCGATTAGGTTAACAACTCGATCAAGTTGAAAAAACCATTTGAAAAGTTGGATAGAATTGGACCACTTTGGACCGGCGGTCAAACCGATAATCGAGATCAAATTAGAAACTGAATCAAAATTTCAAAAACCAAACTGTTCAAAAAAAATACTTCTTTTTCTTTTATTTAAATCTTGTTATCAAATTTTTTTTAACCATTTAATATTATATTGTATCATGTACCATATTAAGTTACGATAAACTTAAAATATTTTATTTTATTTTTAAATTAAGGAGTAATTTGATATTTTATTTTTTATATTTAAATTATTATATCCACATAAAATTTTTTTACTTTAATTATCACATCACCACTTTGATTATTGAATTAAACCATACGAGCTGTGGACCATTGAACTTTTCGGCTCAATATTCAACTTGATTTTGGAAACATTACATTCAAGTTTGCACGTAACATTCTTTACACACACACACACACACAAACATCTATGAGAGAAGCACATGAATTAAGTACACGGGAGAAACAACACACCAAAAAGGTGGGGGGGGGGGAATTCCACGCCAAGAGGACGTGCAATCCTCAACTAAAGTTTATACATTATGACGAGGCCATCACATTAAGTTTATACACATCTTGTATGTACATAATTCTGCCTTAAAAGCGCGAAGCTCTAATTTTTGTTTTCACAATACTAACCAGCCATCAGCAATGATATCCACTTCCTTAACCCTAGCTAACGTTGCAATCTCTAGAATTTCCCAAAATTTCCTCATCAGAAGAGGCATCATCTAAGACTCCCAAGAAGTAGCCCTCTGTATTTTCTTCATCCCTCACAATATCAGCTCTACTGTAACTCCTTTCAATATATGCCAGTGTCTGCCGCCTCTGCAAGCGCAGAACATGCATTACAACATCAGGAGTTAGAGTTACACGTGATCGATCTTCTCTCCCATGTCTATTTCCCTCCATTATCTGTTCAGAGAAATTAACAATAAGAAAACTTCAAATCAAGAACATTCACCCAGTGTTATTTAATAAAATAGCACATTTCTTAGACATTAAACACCAAGTCCAAAAATAAAGACCAAGAAGGAAAAAGCAAAGTCAGCATATAACACCTCTTGTGCATTCTCAGGAACTGGAGGAACATCACTCGCATGAGGAGCCCAGATTTTCACATCATTTTCGATACCGCAAGTAGCAAGAACTGGATTATATGGATGGGCCTCAAGTTGATTTACAACATGTTGATCACCTACCATTAATCTCACCAGCTTAGCATCCTTCTTCTTCCAGATGAAAATATGACCACAATCTGAACCGCTCAAAACATATTCATCATTAGGACCGAAGAAGCTCACCCCTTTAACTGTCCGTGCGTTTCTGTGACCAGAGTAAACTTGTGCCTGTTTAAGTTTCTCCAACTCCTCAGATGTAGCAGAGGAAGGTGAACAACTCAACCCCGTATTCTTCTGAAATAAATAGATGAGCTCATCATTGTAAGAAACAACGAGTTCGCTCAGGCTTGAGTAAGCCAATCCTGTTATATGGACATGATTTGAGCCAATTAAGTGGTGAGGACAAAAGGTGTAAACAGGTCTATCTAAATTACTTGTCACATCCAATAGGCATTTTCTTATGTCATAAACACGTGCATATTCATCAGATCCTCCAATCGCAAAGTAATTTGGATTTCTTGAATCAATCACAATGGAATTCAGCCTTATCCTGCTTGATGGTTGTTTATTATTCCCTGTCAATGAGGAGCAACGGAAAAGTTTTGTAGTAGAACTACTTCGCAAATCAAACTGCAAAAGAAACAAAACTAATAATTGCACCGTATAGCATAGAGGGAAGCTTCAATAGGGAAAAAGCTTTGACACTTGACTAACATGTTGAATAAAACCATCTTCACCGCAGCTATACAGTATGTGAGGACTTCCTGGCTCCAAAGCGAGCTTGTATACAGAACCTTGGTGCTTCCCCAACATGGTAGTTTCAATCAAACCATCCTCTGAGAGATGGCCAAGCCTTACCTGCGATAGAAAGCCCAGTTACCATTAGAAGGGAATGAAGGAGGACTTTAACAGAGCATTAACAAAAGTAGGCTTGGCCTAAAGTTGCACCCTTTACTTCAGAATTTTTGAACATCACTCAAATGATGGACCAGTGGCCCCATATGTTAATTAATGAATCAACGAAAATATTAAAAAAGAAAAATTCATGCAAACAGTACTTATTAGCTATGCACTCTGGGGCTGTCTTCGTTTACCATTGACGAAATTTGAACATATTGGCAAATTGGAAAGGGAAAAGGGGGCAAGAAGCACAGAGATAACAAGGTGAAACTAAAAAGCATTATAGCAGACGAAATAAGACTGCCATTGACCTTTTCAATGATAAAAAGAGCAAAAAGAAAAGAAGCTGTGGGCTCAATGTTACTTTAAGGGTTCAACCCAACAACACCGGTTCAATTTTTACTGAAGAAACTCTGTTGGCCTAAGGGGTCAGAAAGAATATTTGGTTCAGGGAGAGATACCTCGCCATCACCAGCAGAAGTCACTATTTTGCGGTCATCAGAGAATGGCATAATTCTTGTCTGAAATATGTTGTCAGAGTGACCAGAAGGATATTCAAACAGCTTAGTTTTGGATGCCCAATTCCAAAACATAACTCGCTGGTCATCAGAACCGGAGACAAGAAGATCACCAGTAGAGTTAAACTCCACAGCATTTACGCACCCTTCATGACCATTTAACTTCCCATACAAATTCATTTGCTTTACTATGGCCTGCATATAGAAGCAACCCAATAAGAAAATTATCCAGTGGAATATTATCATAAGACAACTGCAAAAGATGGCCGACGATTGAGAGAACTGATTATTATCATTATTATCATCCCATGGGGTTAAATCAAAGCAAGCACGAGATCAAACGATTTTGAAAAATTAGGTTAGGTAGCTGGTGGAATCACTTATGCCACTTTATAACATACTCAACAATGCACAAATTACAAAACAGAAATCAGCCAAAGTAGATTCATAATGTTGGATTTCACTCCTTGTATCTATCAGAAACTAAAGTCAAGCCGAGTATCCAAATGAGAGTCAGAAACTCCTTCTATCGTCATAATCCAAATGCGAATCAGAAACTTCTTCATGTTGTCGATTTCAAGTACACTAAATACAAGTGGCTAATATCAGGATGTTATCGAACGAACTATAATTACAGTGCAATTCACTTTCTTTACACGCAGCAACTGCATATAAACCTTTCAACAGCACACCAAACGGCAGAAGGAAAAATAAAAACCAAAACAAAACAAAACTTTCATGGGGAATTGACAAATACTCAAACTGCAAACGGAAAAAAAAAATTGCTACCTCGGAAGCCAGAAATCGTCGAGCAAAATCGCGAGGATGCGACCAGCCCACCTCCCTCCTGTAAATGTCAGGAAACCCATCTCGAGCTCGAATAATTCCCTGACGACCACTCTGCATTTTTCAGAATATACGTCTAAAGCTCAATCCCCGGCCAAAATTGCAGCAGATTGGAAGATCATGCTCAAGTATTTTTGCGTTTTGCAGGGTAAACGTGGGAGTGTTGGAGGGTCCGGTTTCGGTGGCGCCGATGATGATCAATCCGGACGCTTCAGATTTTTCACCTGCACCAGTTCATCTGCTTCATATTTACAGGTTTTCTTTTTATATTTAAAAATAAAAATTTTAAAAAATTTTAATATTAAATTCAAACTATTCAAAATTCAAAACATATCTAAATATAAAAATTATAAAAATTTTAATATTAAATTAAATTTATATTATTCAGATTGATATAAGATAGATTTTATTAAAATTTTACAATTTTTATATATAATATATATGAAAAAATATAAAAGTAAAATTTTAAAATTCAGATCATACTGATGCTCATCAAGTGATGACGCACTAGCGAAACGTGCCATTCAGTGTTGCGTTGAATCGACTAGGGTCATCTTTGCTATTTTTTCCTCTATCTTTTCAGTCTTCACTATTCATATTATGTTATTAAATAATTTTTTTAATTATAAAATTAATGAAAGGTGAGAATTGAAGCAGTGGAGGAAAAAAAGTTGAGAGGCCATTGGTTCGTGTTGGCGAGCCTGTGTCGGCATTCAGGTTGCACGAACGCATTTTGGCAATTTGTTTCAGTTTTTTATTTTTCATTTTTCTGGATCTTGCAATTTTTCGTTTTTGATTAGTTTTGTTGCTTGATTTATTTTTAGGTTGTTTTCTTGAATAAAGGGCACAACAATGAAATTAACAATTTTTATTAAAAAAATCACAAATAAACATTTTTATAAAAATATTTAAAAATTAAATTAAATTTATAATATAAGTTATCTTGCACTGTATTGTTTAAAGGCATCGTTGATTTAATGGTTATAAATGTTTTGATGAATCAAAGATTACAGGTTCAAATTTCCCTTGAAAAAAAAAAAAAGTTATCTACATTCTAGTATTAGAGCTACGCATGCGGCACCTAACGGTGGTCCAGTCATCAGCAGCCGTCGGCAATGGGATCCGACGGCCAGCAGTGCCAAAACAGTGGTGGAGGCCCGGGGAAGACATCGAGAAAAAAAAAAAATTAATGTCAGGTCCTTTTAGAGTAATTTCATGGTGTTTTAATCCTTCGATGCCAATTTTATGAGTGAGAACAAGCCTTTAGAAAAAAAAAAAAAAAACCATGTAATTTTCACAGGAAACGTCACAACTCGCATGCTGTCATCACTTGTCAGCTTCTTCTTTTGGTTGTGGTTTTTTTTTTTTTGTTTCTTTGTTTTTGTTTTTGGGCCAGTCACCACTCACTAGAGAGCCTTCAAATAGAGTACACAGATACGTACGGTCCCCGCATTCCTCGACTGCAGAAGACGAACTTTTTTTGGCCATGGCAAAAGGAGAAGAGAAAGGATAGTTTCATTAAATTTTATTTTTAATTTTTATATTTTTTTCATATTTTTTATTCTCTGTAGAAATTAAAATTTTGAATAATGAAAACTATATGAATTTAAAAAATAAAGCTATCTAATCTTTTTAAAATTTTAGAGACTGAAAATATTTAAAAAAATTATAAAGATTAAAAATAAAACCCGATAAAATTAAAGAACCAAAAATTGTGTTTTTTCAAAAAAGAATCATCTTATATTTAGTCTGTATTTTTTTGTTTAGGTGATTATTGCAAAAAGATATTGTGCTTTCTATGGCCAAAATTTTGGATTATATTTTTTTTGAATTAAGGTTCAATTTTACCATTATATTTATTTTTTATGAGTTTTGAGCACCTTACACTTTTAAATGGGGCAATTTGTTCTTTGAAATATTTTTTTAAATCTAAAATCACCTTTTTGTTCACGTGGATGTGCGTAGGGCCTATGTATAATGAAAATTAAGACCTTTGATCATATCTTTTGATATTAATTTGTCACTAAATATTTTTTAAGAATGTTGAGCATCTAAAGTTTTTTTCTATTATCATTGGGTAATTGAAGTCTTATTAAAATTTAATAAATGTTATCAAAATATTAAATATTTTAATATTGAATAATTTAAATGATCATTCAAAATTTATGAATTACTTTTAAAATATTATAACTCAAATTAATATTTTATAAATTTATATATGATTTTTTATTTTTTTATATTGATCTTCTCTCTGAAACAACGTCCAAATTGTTATGTGTAATATTTAAATTTTTAATCTCTAGGTAATAAATTAATTATAAGAAATTTTGATGTGTGAGAGGGAAATTTTAATACATAAAATTTTTTTGAACATTTATCAAAAATTAAGAATTTAGACATTAAGTAAAATAATTTGTTTTTTTAAGAAAATTTATCTGAAATAGAATAAATTATAAAAATCCACCTTCAAGCACTATTGATGATGAGGATGATGATGATAATGACACACATAAGCAGATGCATGAAAGATTGAAAATAAATAAATATATGTATTTATATTTTTAATTTGTAATATGAAATATATTGTGTGTGTATAAATAAATAAAAATGAGAACAAGGAATATGTATAAATATATGTGGGTGTCAGTACGCGCGCGGTTGTGAATATATTTATATTTGTGATTGTAGTGTAAAAATACGTGTGTGCGTGTTTATAACATAGTGTGTGTAATTATAAAATGAAAAAGCAAAGAGGGGAGAGAGAGAGAGAGAGAGAGAGAGAGAGGGAGGTCTTGCCTGTGAGCCCACGGCCCACATCCCTTTCCCCATAAAATAATTACCCTAGTTAACATCAAAGCGCACGCTGCACCTTTTTGCCGCCGAACAAGAGAGCATGTGAGGGAGAGCCAGTGCAGGAGGCAGTGAAGAAGTTTAAAACTAATATAATCACATATTATAAAGGTGCTTTAAAGATTTATAAAATGATGTAAGCGTTCTAAATTATTTGTTCTGTCAATTTATTTTCTTAGTTTTTAATTTATAAAAGATGGAAAATCTACAGTGTTCTATATTTAGAATTTGTGGGTTTTTTTGTTCATGAAAAAGTTACTTTAAAAATATTTGCAGATCTATTTTGAGTTTTTAGAAAGTTTTAATCTTTAGATATAAATTTCTTAAAAGGTCTGAAGACTCTTAGAGTAAGGTTTGAAATTTAGAATAAATGTTTGAGATGAATAGAAACTTTAAATCATTCTTTTGAATTATACAAAAATTATTAGATATATAAAATAGTGAAACTAGTCTTAACTAGTCTTAACAAAGGGTATGAATTTAAAATAATATTTTGGGTTCTTTGGTATAGTTTTAAAATCTAAATAACTTTAGGACAACTTTATAGTTAGTTTTAGGGTATTTCTTTGATAGTTTTAAATTATATATTAATATTTTTATATGTGAGTGCCTTCTGTAAACTATCGCCGATAGTTTTTACTACTTGGATTTGCTATAAGGCTACATGTAAGCGTAAGAAGAACATGTAACTTAGGATTTTTTTCATGTGTGTGCCAATTGTATTTGTTGTGATAACTTATGCAAGTATGCTCCTGTATGTTTTGTCTAATTGAGTATGATACTTGTATATAAACTATATGACAAAATGTAAAAAATGTGACTATAGAATTTATTGAGTCACTTCAATTTAGTCAACCATGCTTGTAACTCATTGCCATGATTATGTGAGGTAACATATTTCCTTTAAAGTTTGTTGGCATACATTCTAAATTATTGCATATGCATGTCATGCACTGGTAATAAGCCAAGGGGATAATGATGATGATGATGTAGATGTTGACTTATATACAATTGTGACCATATGGTTTGCCCCCCAGTACGTGCATGGTGGTTTGCCTTTTCTTTTCAAAGCTTTGTTCCTTAATACTTACTTAGTTAGGTTTGTAAAGGGGGAACATATGACAATGACACCTCCTAGTTGGGTTCTTTAAGGAGGAGAACCATAGTTGAGGGCTTAGGCTTAGTACCTTTAGCCAGGCATATCTTGAGCTTTGGAGATGCTTTGGTCAATCCAGTGAGTTGGTTAGACCTTAGACAAGCTTGTGATTCTGGTCAACAATATGAGGTGGGATGGAGCAATAAGGAGAATTTTGTATATGTTGCATATAATTGTTATGAATGACGGCTTGTAAATTGTTGTGCTCATAATTTAATAATGATGATGAGGTTATATGTATGCATTATTGTTAATGTGTGTGGTTGTAAGTTTGTAGATATATGGTGGAACTCTGGTTATTGAGACGTTAGTGCTCATCCCTCTCATTAACATTTTAGGCAAGTTAACAAAGAAAAGAGGAAGCATCTGAAAGCTTGGTGTTTAGCTCGAGTAAGCCTTAAGTTCCTTTTCAATCTATAGAATAATTATTTGTTAGTACAGGACTCATTGTTAATGTAGGTGGAGTTTGTAAATTGTTTATTATTTATTGATGATTAGTAAGGGTACTTGTCATGCCTAGATCATGATTTTCCTAAAAAGGTAAATCAATAAATATAGGAGTCACCATCAAAATTTTAAAAGGATAATTTTGAAAATCCTTTACGAAATGAAACGGTCTATAATGACCAAAATAAGGTTATGAAATTAATTGTGTGTAGGGAAGGTGTTAGGCACCCCACAGCACTCGTCTCTGAGAATGATTTCCTAGTTGACTAAACAAAATTAATATAGCCTTAAATGAAATTTAATTACCTTTAATTAATAAAACAATAAAAGGAAATAAGAAGAAAAATAAAATTATATCAAGAAAAATATTATTTATTACATGTTAGATTTGACCTAAGATAAAATCCCAAGGCCTACACACCCTTTAGAGGAATCAAAACTCACGTAGCTCAAAAGTAAAAATACGTGTCACTTCGTTGGTGACTTTTAGAAGAATGATTTTAAATTTTGAAAAATAATTTCTTAATTGAGTTTGTATCTTTTAATTTATAAAAGTGAATTCCTCCAATATGTGACAAAAGATTTTGGAAGAAAAAATTTAGATTGAAGTTCTTGTAGAGATTTTAAAAATCTCATACTAAAATTAATTATTTCATGCCTACGGAGATTCCAAAACCTAACACGACGTAAAAATCATTTTCTCAATTAGTTTATTTATTTTTTTATAAAAGAAGATTTTTTTAAATTGATTTAAGATATGTTTGCAGTAG